CTTTCCCTTTTTGCTATGAGTTCCATCTTTTAGTTATTAATATTCTTTGTGGACAGGATGACCCATAACAGTTTCCAGACTGTTGTTGTGGATAACAACATTCTTCAGAAACTAGGTGATTATGAATAATAATAATAATATCCAGAAACCAGTCATCGTGATCAAGCTATTTCATGTGTTTTTCTTTTTTCCTGAGCTTTGCATGCAGCTAGAGTGATTTTTTTTTTTTAAATACATGCTGATGGACTTTTTCTAAATTTCTAACTTAGTGGCCATTAGAGAGTTAAGCTGTATTTTCATCCTTTCAATATAAGCTTTTATGTGATTATTTGAGACCCAGGTGGTCTGGACAGAAAAGCTCTGCCTCCATTTACAAAGTAGCCTTTAAAATCTGAATTTCTGCATTCATGTTTGAGACAAGTAGCAATCACTCTATGGCCTTGACAACAGCTTCTAGAGGTTAAGGATGGAACTCAGAGGCAGAACACTTACCTGGTACCAGCAAGAGGAGATGCTGGCTGGGGTGGAAGGAGAAGAACACAGCTTCAAAAGAACTCAACTTTCCACCACATCTTTTAAAGGAGACTACAAAAATCTACCATTCATCTGGAAAGTTAGGGGCTCTGGTTAGGACCCCCTAACCAGTCTCCCTGCTTGAGCCCTTGGCTCTCAGTGACCCATTGTCAACTAATCAGAGGAATGGTAAATTCATCCCAGCTTGGTGTTCTTTAGTAATTTCCCTGGTACAAAGGTTAAATTCTGAATGTCCTACTGTGACCTAATAAACCCTGTCTGGTCAGTTTCTCTGCTGCTCTAGGTGAACCACATTTTGCAGAACAGTTTAGAGGTTAACAGCTTGATTTATTTTTCCAAGGCAGTGTTTCTTTGTGTAACAGACCTGGCTGTCCTAAACTCACTCTGTAGACCAGACTGGCCTTGAATGCCAGAGGTTATGGAACTGCAGAATCTGAGTGGGTTATCAAATCTCTCTGCTACCTAAGGGGATATTTATTTTGAAATTTAATTTTAAAAAGGAAGCTGAGCTAGGTGGCACAGGCCTTTAATCCCAACACCCGGGAGGCAGTGGATCTCTGAATTCAAGGCCAGCCTGGTCTATAGAGAGAGGTCAAGGACAGACAGGGTTACACAGAGAAACCCTATTAAAGAAGGGACTGGAGAGATGGTTCAGTGGGTAAGAACTTGGTATGCAAGCATGAAGACCTGAGTCTGCTCCATGAGCATTCTGTTGCAGAGAATTTAATTCCAACCACCCACGGGGTGTTTCACAGCCACTGTAACTCCACTTGTAGGACCTTGTGCATCAAGGCGCACACACAGTGTACATACATACATGCAGGTAAAACATAAAGTAAATCTTAAAAAATAAAATTTGTGGGAAAGAATGCCTGTAACCACAGTGCTGCAAGGCAGAAGGATTGCCCAGGCTTGTCATCCAGCATAAGTCCATGAGGGCTTGAGTTATCACATGTACTCATGGCATGTGTAGAAGTCAGAGGACACTGTGGAGTTGGTTTTTTCAGTCCATCTTTACCTGGGTTCTGGGATTAAACTCAAATCACTAGGCTTGTAAGCACCTTTACCCAGGAGCCATCTTACCAGCTCTTATTATTTATTTGTTTATGAGTTTTTGAGTAAGATCTCACTAAGGTACCCAGGCTAGCCTTGAACTTGCAATCCTTCAGCCTCAATTGGGAATCTAAAAAGGAAGTTAAAAACAAAAACAAGTCTAGTTCTGGAAAGATGGCCTAGTGTTAAAAGCACTTTCTACTCTTAGAGGGACCTGAGTTCAGTTCCCAGCCCCAGACAGAGTATTAGGTAATTCACAACTCCTTCAATTCCAGGTCCAAAGGATCTGACAGCTTAGTCTGGCATGGTTCCTCAAACCTGTAACCCAGTACTGAGGCAGAGAATTATCACCAGCTGAGAGGCAGCCTGGGCTAAAGAGTGATAGTATTTTTAAAAGCAAACAAGGAGGGAGGGGCCGGAAAAAGCAAAAAGAATTCAAGCATGATGGCCCACACCTTTTTATCCCAGCACTCAGGAGGCAGAGGCAAGCAGATATCTAAGTCCTAGGCCAGCCTGGTCTACAAAGCAAGTTCTAAGACTGCCAGGACTATACACAGAAACCCTGCCTCCAGCGTATTTCCTCTCTTGCTCAGTATTGAACCTACCGCTTTCAAGCATGCTAAGCAAGCATTATACCACCTGAGTTAGAACCTTTTAAATCCTTCATTTTGATTTTGTCTGGTCTGTGGGGCACTTAGTCCAGGAGCTTATTTTTAAGACATAATACATGAACATGAAAATTAATGAAACTTGGGTCAGGGAGATGGCTCCGCGGTTAAAAGCACTGGCTATTCTTCCAGAGGACCCCAGCACAGATCCAGGGGATCCAGCACCCTCATACAGACATACAGACAGACAAAACACAGGGTCTATGGAAACCTGTTTGTCCTGGAACTCGCTTTACAGAACAGGCGTGCCTCAAAGTCACAGAAATTCATCGGCCTCTGCCTCTTGTGAGCTGGGATTACAGAACCTTAACCTCGGCTGAGCAGGGATTGAAGGCATGAACCATGCCCTGCTGTCTAATTTTAAAAATAAATAAACCGGAGGGGGTGTGGACAACATTTAAAGACGACAAGGTAGTGTACAACTTTAATTCCGGCACTTGGGAGGTGGAAATTTAGGATCTAGGCTACAGAAGACCCTGTCTCTAAAGGGGGAAAAAAAAGATACACTCTAAGCACAACAGCCAGCAAGTGTGACATATCACGTCTTCTTAAAGTGCAGCGTGCGAGAGCCCTCCAGTCTGCCCAAGGTCAAGGACCTGAGGCGGGGAGTTAGGTGTCTCAGTGATAAGCACGCCACACAGCCCACCTCAGTGCCAGCGTCCCAGGGTCCCAGGATCGCTGAGGCTCCCAGGTTCTTCCCGGAAACCGGAAGAGACGTAAAGAAGGCGGGGCTGCGTTTTAGAAACCCGACCGTGAGGCTTTGCGCTTCCTCTTTCCAGCCAGCGCCGAGCGATGGGTGAGTGTTGCTGTAGGCCGGGTCTGGCTGCGGGGAGCGAGGTCCATCCGTCTCCATCCTGACTCGCACCCCAGCCAGGAACGTGTTCGGCCCGACCCTGGGCCACGAGCACCCGTGGGGAGGGCCGGCCGTGGGCTTGGGCTGCCGAGATCGCTGCGGTCGCTTCCCGGGCTCCGGGCTGCGAGCTTGTCCAACATGGCTGCCGCGGGCCGCACGCGCATGATGACACCTAGGTATGCTGCACACTCCCGACTGCGTCGTGGGGAAGCCAACCTTGGAGAGCTGAGCGTGCGGCCCGCGCCGAGCGGGGCCCCGGAGCTGGCTAAGGCGCTGGCACCGAGGCCCGATTGCTCAGGCTTGCGTCCCCGCTCCCACACACAGGCATCTCTCGGGACAACTGGCACAAGCGCCGCAAGACCGGGGGTAAGAGAAAGCCCTACCACAAGAAGCGGAAGTATGAACTGGGACGGCCTGCTGCCAACACGAAGGTGAGCGCGGGGGTCGGGGGAGTCAAATTCTCTACGGTAGAGCACGGTTGCGGTGGCTGTGGTCACCTCTTGGGCGTTGATTTCCCAGTTTTGGAGACTGGGCATCTCGCACATGTCCACGTGCTGGGTGAAGAGAGCTGGGTCTGCGCCCGGATCACCAAGCTTAGCGTATAATGGAGAGACATGCTGGGGACTCGGCTTCAAGTGACTCCTAGAAATGGGTTCCTTTCATGTTAGTACTGTGTCATTTGGGGCATTAATGGAGTTATTTCTGTGTTTCGGGGGTCTGGCTTTTCTTTTTAGAGGTAACAGAGTGATGAAAAAGTATCCTTAGGCGTGGTTAGGCCGTCTTGGTCACCTGAATGCCACTTGCCAATGAAAGGACTTGTCATAGTTACACTGACTGTTACCTCCATCTAGTCCAGGTTCCTCTCCCAGAACCCCTCTCTTCTTGATGACCATGTCTGGTTTTGTGCTTTCCAGATTGGCCCTCGTCGTATACACACAGTCCGAGTTCGAGGAGGCAATAAGAAGTACCGTGCCCTAAGATTGGATGTGGGAAACTTTTCCTGGGGCTCTGAGTGTAAGTAGTCCTTTGGGGGTATCAAGATGTTTGAATTTGCCCCTTGCTGAAAGACCTTGAGGTAGCTGGAGAATTCCTTCCGATCGTTTGACTCCTGCAGCTTGGGGTGGTTTCTGGAGGGTGCTTAAAAGCTCTCTAAATTAAAGAAAAATAGTTGTGGGTAAAGCCCTTAGGCATGGAGGCTGGGTGTTCCTTTTCTGCCCTTCCTGGGATTAAGGACCCTGGGGAAAGGAAGGTAAAGCCAGTGATTGCCCTGTATGCATGCATGCTCATGTTACAGAGCCCTGCAACTGAGCTGCCTCCCCAGCCCCTTAATTGTGAGTTTCCCTTGTGTGCAGGCTGTACTCGAAAAACAAGAATCATTGACGTTGTCTACAATGCATCCAATAATGAGCTGGTCCGCACCAAGACCCTAGTGAAGAACTGCATTGTGCTCATTGACAGCACACCGTACCGACAGTGGTACGAGTCCCACTATGCACTGCCCCTGGGCCGCAAGAAGGGGGCCAAGCTGGTGAGTGTTGTTTTGCCATAGGGGGTGAGGGGAAGGGCTGCCTTCTTGTGATGAGAATTCTGTCCAGTTCTGCTACTGAAGGAAGGAGATGAGTACTATAGCGCTGAAGAAGGCAAGCACCAGGGTATTTGGGGTTTGAGAAGGCTTGGTGACTTTCCTCATGACATACCCATTTGTATTTCCTTTATTCAGACTCCTGAGGAGGAAGAAATACTAAACAAAAAACGATCCAAGAAAATTCAAAAGAAATATGATGAAAGGAAAAAGAACGCCAAAATCAGCAGTCTTCTGGAGGAACAGTTCCAGCAGGGCAAGCTTCTTGGTGAGATGGATGTAGTGTTGGTGGTGTGGGGGGGGGTGGCTGTCTCAGTGATGAGAACTTTGTCCAGTTCTGCTGCTGACTTCTAAGTGAGGACGAAGTGTATCTGAGGAGACGTTTGGCTTTACGGCTGCTCTTTGGGTATTAGACCAACTTGGGCTTTTAAGGGGGCAGCAAGGTTGGGTGGGGCCTTTGGTCCTTTTACTAAGGACCGCCTATTCTCTTACAGCCTGTATTGCCTCAAGACCAGGCCAGTGTGGCAGAGCAGATGGCTATGTGCTAGAAGGCAAGGAGCTGGAGTTCTATCTGAGGAAGATCAAAGCCCGGAAAGGCAAATAAACCATCATTCATAGCTCATGTAATAAAGGTGTTTATTGTTCTATATTTATATTGTCTAAATGTTTGGCTAGATTTTTTTTCCTGCTTCTCTGAGCAAAGCTGAAGAAACCTCTTTATCGTATTATCTACTGTAAAAGGCCCTGTGCCTAGTCTGTTTTGAGAATAGGGACTAAGGTAAAGCCAGTATTTCCTGGGTCTTTGGGGGACCTAGAGCAAGTTGGTGTGGAAGAGACTTGTGATGTGAGTTCTCAAACAATGTGAGGGTGTTGACTAAACCATGCTTGAAGATTGTCCCTTTCCTTTGTAGACTTGGGTTTCAAGGGTTCTGTTAAATTTGTGTACGTATACGAGGCATTAACTTACATGGGTATTAAGCACATGGCTGTAACACCTGCTGTTCCAGCCAGGTATGGTGGTTCATGGGAAGAAGGGACTTTGTATTGAGGATCTTCATTAGTCGTGCAAGTTACAGAGAAGATATCTTCACTACAAGGTTGATAGTTTGGGGGGCTGATTTCAGCTCAGATACATGTTCAAATGCTTCCTGGGTACTGGGTTAGGTGTGTATACCACCATGCCTGATTAATATTTTGGGGTTTCCTACAGAAAAGTGGGGCCCTGTACTAGGTGGTGGGTTGTTGATTCTCTGCTCTTCTGTGTTCGGGGATCTTGACAGATTCATAATGCTCATATAGCAAACACTGGCTATAACATCAAAGGCCAAGGAGTTTTGGTTTTGTGTGTGCTTGTTTTTTAAGACAGGTTTTCTCTGTGGCTTTGGAGGCTGTACTGGAACTAGCTCTTGTAGAGCAAGCTGGCCACTTAACTCACAGAGACCTGTCTGCCTCCGAGGATTAAACCCAACCTGATTTGGGTTTTCAAGATAGGAATTCTGTGTAACAACTCTGGCTGTCCTGGAACTCACCAGAGTGGTTTCGAATTCAGATCTGCCTGCCTCTACTTCCCTATAGCTGGGATTAAAGGTGTGTACTGCACTGAATGAGATAAGTTTGTTTTGAGGGGAGAAGTTCTAAAACAAGGTCTCTGGTCCTAACCTGGATCAGTCCCAGCAGATTTTGGAGTTATTTGCTTATAGCTAATCTATGGCCATTTTGGTGGAGAGCATTGGAGCAGGTGGTACATACTGTAGCAGTAGCTCCGCTTATACTATCATTTTTTGTTTTTTTTTAAGCTTTTGTTTTTTGAGATGGGGTTTCTCTGTATTGCTTTGGAACCTGTCCTGGAACTCCCTAGGCCAGGCTTGTTTTTGAGATGAGGTCTTGCTATGTATATCTGGCTGATCAGAAATTCTTTATGTAGAGCAGGTTAAACTTGAACTCAGGGGTCTTTTTGCCTTCTGTGTTGAGGTTAAAGGTGTGTGCCATCGTGCCCAACCCAATAAGGGTCTTTTCTCCCGCATGTGAGTGTTACTTTCTTCCATATATGTGCACCGTTTGCTTGTCTGGTACCCAAGGTCAGAAGACGGCATTGAATCACTTGGGACTGGAACAGGTGTTCTTAATTAGCCGTCTCTCCAGCCCCTCCAGTAAGTTTGTTTTGTTTCTCAAGACAGTTTATCTGTAACAGCCTTGGCTGGCTTGAACTCAGATCCACCTTCTGCCTCCCAAGTGCTGGGATTTAAAGCATGCACTACCCAACCACCATGTGGTTGTTGGTAATTGAGCTCAAGACCTGGAAGAGCAGCCTGTGCTCTTAACCTGAGCCATCTCTCCAGCCCACATGGCTCACTTTTAATTCCAGACTTAACTCACAGACATTCCCCTCCTGGGACACATACTTGGAATAAAATTTATTTTTGAATTGCCATTAAGATAACTCTGCAGGTAAAGGTATGTGGTGACTTGAATTCAGTCCCCTGAACCCACAGGATGGAAGGACAGAACTGATTTTTGGTTTTTCAAGACAGATTTTCTTTGTGTAGCTTTGGAGCCTGTCCTGGAACTTGTCTGTAGGCCAGGCTGGCCTTGAACTCACAGAGATCTACCTTCTGCCTCCTAAGTGCTGGGATTAAAGGCATAACTTCACTTTTAAAATTGGAGTGGTCTTGGGGCTGGAGAGATGGCTCAGTGGTTAAGAGCACTGGCTGCTCTTCCAGAGGTCTTGAGCTCCATTACCAAGAACCACATGGTGACTCACAACTGGATCTCTACATGAGGAGAGAACACTGTATACACAATAAACCTTCAAAAAAAAAAAAACATTGGAGGGAGCTGGAGAGATGGCTCAGTGACTCTTTTAAAGTGAGCACTCAGTTCACTTCCCAGTATTCAGATGGCAGCTCACAAAGGTCACCTTTGAGGTTCCAGGAGTTAAGGCATATGCTCTTTTAGGGGATCTGGTGACTCTGGGCACTGTACGGGGTACACTTAATATGTATAGACATTCATGCACCTAAGTACTTTGTTTTTTGAGCCAGGGTTTTTCTGTAGCTTTGGAGCCTATAGACCTGGCTAACCTTGAACTCAGGTTGACTTGCCTCTGCCTCCCAAGTGTTGGGATTAAAGGCGTGCACCACCACTCCCTGGTTCATAACTACTTTTAAATTTGGGACTCTGGTAGGGCTGGGTCCCGTTGGCATAAACCTGTACTACTTGAAAATGTGAGATAGAATCAACAGTTGAGTCCAGCTTGGACAATTAGTGAGATCCTGTCAATACTCCAGTGTTTCTGTCTTTAGTTCCTTTGTTCAGGCATTAGCTAACCTTTCATAAGAGCACAGTCAGAAGAGCTCATTTATACAACTGCTCTTAGTGCTAGGTCACCAAGGGCAAGTTCCCAAACCTAATTCCACCTATGTCCTAGTAAAGACCAAATCATACAGTCTGTTCACAATGAACAAGTGGATATATTCTTATTATAAACAAAAAGTGAGCCTTGCAGATAAGGGTCCCACAGCACACCCTGCAGGATCTAATTTTTTTCACACTTGATTCTGAAATAGCTGTCCTAGGCCAGCCCCACAGCATTGTCCCCAAGCTGGAAATACCACTTCCTGGGCTCAGTACTAAATCAAATGCAATGCAAAGATGCTGAGCACTAGCCTAGCTCCCTGACACCTGGAAAGACAGCCTTGTCTATGTCTTCTAGCCCTACATATTTGGCCATTTCTTCATTCTAGCTTTGCTTCCCTAAGCAATTTCCCACTCTCGAGCTAAAGGAGACACCCTATCCCCAGTTCTAACTCCTTGCCATCTTTGCTTTCAAAAGACAGTGGCCAACCCACTGCAGAAGAGTTGCTCAGAGTGGCATCTGATGTGATAATGCAGCTGGGGGAGAAGGCCTGGTGGCAGCCACTGGCCTGGGATTCTTAAGGTACCAGGGTTTCATCCCCAGATTCCTCAGCCTCATCTGTTCTGCTGGCAGCCTCCTCGCCACCTGTCTCAGTTCTGAAGCCATGCAAGTGCTGGGTCCTGGGGGTGCAGCATGCTTGGCTCAGCCGTAGTTCTGCAGACTTAACAGCGGGCGAGAGCACTCCTGCACCCAACAAGTGGCCCAGCAGCAGGGTCTGTGTGGCAGCTACAGGCAGGTCAGACCTTGGGGACCAGGACTTGTTTGTATCCCCATAGGGTGGCCAGGGACCAAGTACCGGTTTCCATGGCAAATCCAGACTCACCGCAGATTGAAAGTGACTCAGCAGCTGTGGCCACCATATATAGGGTGGCTGAGGTTGGGCCTCATCCCAGTATTGATCCTTCTCGGCAGGAGGCAGTTGTAGGCACATAATCCACAGAGAGCAGGGACACCTGGGCAAGCAGTAGGCCACAAACATTTTCCCTCTGCACACCTAGCTAGCTCTGCCCCCAGTCCCCTACCCCACACCTAACCTGCAGGTTTCGGTCTATGAGCTGATTGGTCTCAAAGTTGCCGTCATCCTCACCAAACGGGTTAATGAGCTGTTCAGCTCCCTATGCATGGCCGGAATAGTTAGTGTCTTCTAGGCGCAGTCTCTCCCCACCCCATCCCCGGACAGCCCAACATTGCAGTGACAATGACTATCCTTGCCAACCTTGAGCCTACGAGCATAAAAGAAAAACTGCAGCAATGTGGTCAGAGGAACGAACATGTCCAGGTTCCCCATGTCTGGAGAGGGCTCCTTGCCTGGCTCCAGAGACCCCTGACCTTTGGTAGCCCCTGTTTCTGGCTCCACAAACTGTAGGGATAGGGCAAAGAAGGAATATTCAGCTATCATCACCACCTGAAGAGGGAAAAGCAAGGGCCAGAGTACCTGGGACAGCAAGAAAATCTATCCCTGTTTCTGAGGGCTTAGAGGGGTCTAACAGGTAATTAAGCAACAATGGAGATCGGCTCATCTTTTTTTTTTTTTTTTAATTTTTTTTTTTTTTTAAGATTTACTTAATTTATCTTGCATACAGTGTTCTGCCTGCAGGCCAGAAGAAGGTACCAGATCTCATGGTTGTGAGCCACAATGTGGTTGCTGGGAATTGAACTCAGATCCTTAACCTCTGAGCCATCTCTCTACCCGATTGGTTCATCTTTTTTAGACAGGTCTCTGTGTAGCCCTAGCTTGTCCTGAAGCTTGCTATATAAACCAGGCTGTACTGGGACTCACAGAGGTCCTTCAGCCCCTATCTCCCAAGTGTTGGGATTAAAGAAGTGTGCTACCACTCTAGGCAAGACAGGATAATCTTTGTTTTTCTACAGTGTTTCTCTGTGTAGCCCTGGGTGGCCTAGAACCTGTTCTGTAAACCAGACTAGCTTCAAACTCAAAGCTCTGCCTGCTTCTGCTGAGTAGCTAGTATTAAAGGCATGTGCCACCACTGCCTAGCTCAGGACAAAGTGATCTTTATGGGTGTGGAGGAAGGCTTTTGAGGGTTCAGTGCCTCCTGAGACTGACTTGCCCACGTGAAGACCTTCTCTGCCCCTTGGTATCTCACGCCTGAGCTGGGCAAGTAACAACAGTTACCTGGGTGTAGACAAGGTGATGCTGATCCAGTCATAGTGGAACAACATGCTGCAGTTGGCACGGTACTTGTTCAGCTCCTAGAGAAAGCAGATGAGGGGGAGTTTGGAGGAGACAAGGAAGGAAGATGAGGACTAAATGAGAGTAAGACATGCTTCCAAAGGGCACAGTAGCTAGGTCTAGTGGCTGGTGCCTGTAATTCCAAAGTTTGGGAGAAGATGGCAGGATTGCCATAGGTTTGAGGCCAGCCTGGGCTAAATAATGAGTTCCAGATAAGCTTGATCTATGGAGAGTAATCTTATCCCCTCTGCCAAAAAAAAAAGTGTGTGGTATATAGCTGGTGCCTTTTAAGTGTCAAGTACCAAAATTTTGATTCTGAAGCTAGAGATAGAACCTGGGATTCAAATCCTAAAGCAATGCGATGTCGTCACGGATTTGTCCATCCCTGTGGGCCTGAGCGGCTAGGTTAGTGAACCAGACGCAAGGGACCCAGTACTTGTTAAAGTCAGATTTCAAGCTCTCAAACTTTTTCCTCTCTTCCTGAGACGTGAAACCTGCCAGAATGAAGAAGGTGCAGATGTCTCCTGTCCCCAGGGGACGCTAGTGGTTCAGCATCTGACTGTTCTCCCTTAAACTCACTGGCTTCCCTGAAATCCTGGAGCGCCCCCTAAGGGTCAGACCTTTCCATCACAGGAGGAAAGCCAAGAAGACGATAGCATCCAGCCACTCACCCACCGCGTACCTGTATCCACCATGTGTTCCATAGTGGGGAAGTGCTTGAGCACAGGGGTACTCACGGAACGCAGTACCAGCACCAATGCCAGGTTGGCATAGCAGATGACAGTTCGGCATAATAAACAGCCACTCTGATCCACACCGTGCACAAAGCTGACATGACACACATTAACTGATCCAGCAGTGGGATGCTTGTGTACTGAGACCACCAGCGGTTCACCACCAGTCACGTAGAAACCTAGTGAGCCACCATGGATAACAGGTGCCAGACGCTAGGGAGATAATACTTTGAACTCTGTTGCCCTTCTGGTCCCACTGCTGGGAAAGTCGGGCCAGGAAAGAGGCAGAGAATACAAACTTCCAGGGAAAAGGAAATGGGAGTCCGAGGTGAAGTTAATGTTGATTCTGAGACCTTTCTTCCATAAGGGTAGGGAGGGGCTATCCCTTCTCTGTAGTTCCCCTTAAGTACCCAGTGTGGGGTTATAAAGCCAACGGGTGTCTCTGTGCCAGTGAAGATTGAGGATCCAGCAAATAACAGGCAAGGAAGAACCCGGAGGAGGAAACTGTGGACCCAGGATCTGGCCCTTCTGCTAGTTGACTCCAGGCTATTGCTGCCCAGAGTTGTCACCTCAACCCCAAGGTCAGAGAACATGGTCAGCAGAGTAGGGAAAACTACAAGGGGGGCTTACCCAGCATGAAGGACAAGGGGATGAGGTCTGCTAAGTGGTTGCAGTACCAGGCCACCTGGGCATAAATATGCTTCTGCTCCTGGGTCAGCAGCAGCCTAGGGCACATCACGCAGAGACCTGGGTTAGGAGGAGGCCGGCAGCACAGGTCCTTATAGGCCAGGACTCAGAGCTGCTCTCACTAATAGGTGATGCTGAGCACAGCATATAAGGTACCGAAGAGCAGGAACTCCTTGTACAGGAGCTTGTAGATGCTGCCCCTCCAGCGAAGGAGCAGGCCAGAGAAGGCTCCAAAATGCGCCTCTGCCACTTTGAGAGTGTAAGATACCATCATGGTGCTGGGACCTGATGCAGAAGGTCACAGAGCTGTCTGTCACTAAGCCTAGCACCCCAAGCAAAGTCTTTTCATCTCTGGTCACTCATCTTCCCCCTGTGCCTTGAGACAAGGGGCTAAAATGCTGTAGGACAGACAAACCATCCTCTGCAGAACATCATTGGTTGAAGCCAGGATGGAGTTGAGCAAAGTAGGGCTGAGCTCTGTGCCCCTCATACAGAAATTTTCCACAACCTTTCCACATTTGGGGCAGAGGTCACTAGATTCTGAAGTGTTGAGGACAGAGCCCCAATTTGCTAGGTACAATGGCACATGCCAAAAATCCCAGCACTCAGGAAGTCAACGCAGGAGGTCACTGGTTCAAAGCCTGCCCATGCTATATAGCAAGGCCATGTCTCAACACAAACAGGAGGCTGGAGAGACAGCTCAGTAGTTGGGAGCACTGTCTGCTCTTCCAGAGGACCTGGGTTCAATTTCCCAGCACCCACGTGGCAGCTCACAACTGTCTGTAACTCTTAAGACCTGACACCCTCACACAGACATACATGCAGGCAAAACATCAATACATATAAAATAAAAATAAATAAATAAAACCATACCCAACTCCAAACCAGAGCCACTACTTTTCCTTGGAGCTTCTCCTTGAGATCTGTTCACCTGGGTCCCAAGCACCGGGACCCTCTCACCCACTCACACCTGCCTACCTGGCCTCAGGTGCAGCCTTGGAGAACCTGCACCAGTCTTTGCTCTTCATTCTGAAGTAGCTGCTTGGTCCATAAAGTTAGGCTGGACTGGTACTGTCCTTGATGGATGGAGGCTGTCATCTGGCTGCCCCTGGGAACGGGGTGTGTGCTGCCAACCCTGTGGGGCTGGGCTGGTCTTTGAGGACCTAAAGTGCCATGTGTCCTGACCCCGCCACTTGCACAGTTGATGCCATGTCCTTTAAACTAGGGACAATAGAGATTGCTATCCTATGCTCCAGGTGATATGACAGTTCAGGGTAAACTGTTGCCATGATATCAGCGGCCGATAGCAGAGTGCTAACTCAAGAGACAGACCATGCCAAGGACCGCATTTTATCTTCCTCTCAGGGAATCTTCATCACATCCTCATCTTGTAGGAACCATCCCAGTTTCACAGATTAGGTTCCAGGTGTGCCCAAGGTCACACCACTAGGTCATGTTGGAGGCAGGAGTCAAAGTCACAGCTTCTGAGCTTGAAAAGCTAGGAGTTGCCCGATTGGGCCTAGAGCAGGACTTGAGCACTGGAGATCAGTGTCCTTGACACCAGTAGCCTCAACACAGTGTCAGCCTTCTGTCCCAGGCTCTGGGGGTCCTCCTGGTCAGGCACTTTCCAAATCCATGCATGATGCACATCTGTTGTGAGATATTCACCTTGTCTGCACCTGTGGCATAGACCACGCCCATTGGGGTGGAGACAGGGCCAGACCTTACCTGGGGGAACTAAGTCTGAGGAGGGGCTGAGAGAGCTCTCTTGCTTGCAGCATGGGGACAGGAGAGCATCCGGAGGCATCTTTGGGACCAGGAACCTGCTGGTGTTCATCTGTCTAGGTTGTGAGTTATTTCTCCCTGAATAAACATCTATTCGGCCTATTTGTTTCTCCTGACCCTTATTAAACATCAATACACATTTGTTCAAGTGCTGTGTCCAAGGCTTTGACTCCTGAATGCTTTCAGGAACTCTCTCTCCCTCTCTCTCTGTTTTTTGAAACAAGGTTTCTCTGTGTATTCTGGAACTCACTCTGTAGACCAGGATGGCTTGATCTGCCTGCCTCTGCCTCCCGAATGATGGGATTAAAAATGTGAGCCACCACCACCTGACAACTTGCTTTCTCTTAAATGTTTTATTTATTTGTTTATTTTTGGTTTTTAGTGATAGGGTTTCTCCATAGCTATGGAGCCAGTCCTGGAATTCACTCTGTAGATCTATAGACCAGGTTGACCTCAAACTCACAGAGATCCACCTGTCTCTGCCTTCCAAGTGCCGGTTTGTTTTATTTTATGTATGGTGTGTGGGTGAATTATGTATGGGTACTATATGCAGCATGGGTTCACAGAGGAGCTGAAGTCCTGGCTATTGTTTGCTGCCTGAGGTAGATACTGAGAACTAAAGTCAGTCTCTCTGCAAGAGCTCTTTACTGCTGAGCCATTTATCCAGCTCCAAAATACAGCATTTTTAATAATTTTTGAGAATTTCATACAATGTATTTTGATCATATTCATCCCTTCTACTCAACTGCCTACTCTCCAATTCATTCTCTCCCTCTCTCTCCTTCTCTCTCTCCTGATGGGAGATGCCATTATGTATATATGTTTCTCATACTGGTTAATAATAAAGCACTGTTGGCCAATAGGAAAGGAAGATAGGAGGGACTAGGAGACAAGGAGGAAATAGGAAGTAGTGAGGAGGAGTCAAGATGGAGAGTCTGGAGAGAGCTGGACGCCAGCCGCCTCCCCGGTAAGAGAAGGCCATGTGAAGATACATAGAAATGGGTTAATAATTAAAGGCAGAGCTAGCCGATAAGTAACAAGTAACCGGGCCAACAGTATTGTATCAAATACAGAGTCTCTGTGTGTTATTTGGGGCTGGTGGCATGGTAGCAGGACAAGACCGGGCAGCAGGCGGAAAAACCGTACTCGTTACAGATGGCGCCCAACGTGGCTAGTAAGAACTTCCACTTAAAATTTAACAAAAGGTTAAAAATGGGTTTTAGAAACAAAAGAACAGAGATAAGCAAGGTTTCTTGGTAGCAGCATTTTTCTCAGTTGGACTCTGACTTGCTAGAGACACGCAGATTGTTCGGCTCCTTTAAGGGAAGATTCCTGACTCAGCTTAAGCGGCAAAAAACCGCACAGCTTTTAAATAACTCTGCTAACAATTTATTGGTGTGTATGAGAGATGGCAATGGCAGTGACCACATCTCCAAGCCGGCAGCATGCTTTCTGGGTGGCAGTGCAGACCAAGGCGGTGAGCACAGCTTTCTGTGCTGGCGGGTAAAAGTACCCGCCACCATCTTTGGTAAACCGTGGCTGATGCAGCTATGACTTTCATTTTAGCAATGTTGTTGTTTACCAGATAAAGGACTTGTGGCCAGATGAAGATAAAGATTTACAGTAAAGACAGATTCATATTAAGAAAAACCTCTAAAGGTTTACAGTGTGTTTTAAAATATATGTAGACATGAAAAGAAAAATGGTTTTAAAGAGACAAAGAGGAACTGGGTGTTGTAGCACACGCCTTTAATCCCAGTGCTCAGGAGACAGAGGCAAGCAGATCTCTTGTGATTTCAAAGTAAACCTGGTATGCAGAGTGAATTCCAGGACAGATAAGAGTTACACAGAGAAACCTGTCTCAAAAAATAAAAAGTAAAAGAAACAGAGTAATAATAAAGCCACATAAAGATGAAAAGCTCAGAGAGAATCTGGTTATTGTATGCTATTGTGTTGTCTCTTCATTGTTTACCTGCTGAGAAAATAACAACAACTGATAAAGGAAATGCTGCTGCATTAATTCAATTTATATATTTTAAAAATGCTTTGACTCAAAAATTTAAGTTCAAGGACAAGTTACTGGGGAAAAGGATTTCTATTTTTGTTTCCACAGAAATTGAAAAGCTGTGGATTCCTTCCAGACTAATGTGGTTTGAGCAAGCCAGACCCCCTGAAACAGAGTTCCTGATGATCCAACATTCAAAACAGCTTGGACAAGGCAGTCTTGCAGACTACAGCCAGGATTACTGCATCTTCTTAGGATCCCCCATGACAGCGCCCCCTACCAGCAGGAAGTAGTTTAGAAAGAACTACGCCCAAATTCCCAAATATTGTTTATAAATGTTGGTTTTCATTTAAATGGGGTTGGTTATAAATGGTTAAGGATCACAACCAATATCTTTTTAAAGGTAAAAAGGGAATTATGGTATAGATATGCATAGTTTGTTTTGGAATGGATTTTCATTTATTGATACAATTTAAGGTCAATTTTGTCATATGTATATTTCTCCTCTTGTTTGTATAGCTTATTTAGAAATGTAATGTATAATGTAGTACAGATTATAGATAATTACCTATGATAGTCAAAGCTTAGAGTTAAGTTAGTTAGGTTTTCAAGATACACAGAGATGTATTTGAGATAAATAGGCATTCTTCAAACCTTTCAAAGACCTACAGAATATGGCATTTAAAATGGTTTAGGGTTTTCGTGACAGTGAGACATAATTGCTCTTGGCAATACCACCTGCACCAGAAAGGAAGATGGACATCGAAGAAATGCATTATGACGTTTGCTTCCAATATGGCAAGACTAGCCATTTGGACAAGATACTGCTCTTGTCTGGACTGTTTGACTTTGTGATGTATAAACTGGACATGCAGGACCCACAGGAAAGTGACTCCTGATTCAAGATGGACATTGCTACAGAGATCCTGCTTCATGGAAGAGTCTTCGAGACAGTATGCAGGACACAGAGAAAAGTGACTGACAAACTGCCAATAAAGAAGACAGTTTAAAGTTTTCTGCTTTACTGGAGAGTCTGTCAGACATACTATGGCCTATGGGCTGAAGATGGAAGATTACAGAAGAACTTCGGGTGACTGAAAAGGCAAGTTGTCTCTGTCATTTCTAGAGTTTATATATTACCCTTCTGTGGTCTTTGAAGGACTTGAAGACAGAGAGTTATGGTTACAGTTTTCCTTAGTATTAAAGATAAGTTACTTAGACTTTAGACACACAAAGATATGATAGATGATGGAATATTTTCTTCAAATCTTGCTAAATGTTAATGGACTAAATAGTGTTAACTGTGATTCTTATTTGATAACTGTTATGTGATATATTTTGCTATGTTAAGGTTAAAACCCTTCTTTTTATTTAGACAGAAAAGAGGAGATGATGGGAGATGCCATTATGTATATATGTTTCTCATACTGGTTAATAATAAAGCACTGTTGGCCAATAGGAAAGGAAGATAGGAGGGACTAGGA